TCCTACAACTAGCCCTGTCCTGCGTAGTCCATGCCAACTCAGTGGGGCAGACTGTACCACTGGATGCCTAGGTCTGTTGGTTCTCTAACTGACAAAGGCCCACATACATACTTATACCCTGCCCTTGGCCCCTGTGCACTCCAAGCATGGACTCAGCTGAGGAGGCACATTGAGCTGTTGGATCAAGGACAACAGGTAGGTGGGGGATGGGGATTGAGTCAAGCAGCGTTGGAAACATTCAGAGAATCCATTACATCAGCCAGCAGGCCAAGCATTCCTTAAGCCATTTGAAACCTTGATCAGGAACGGACTTGGGCAGGGAGCCAGTCTTGCGAAGAGCCCAGAGGCTGTATGTGTCAGCTCCCAGCTGGTTCATGGCTCCAAACAGCCATTTGTAGGCTCCAGTGCACAGACTAAATGCTAATGAGTGAGAACATCTGTTCCAGGGATTAGAGATGTGTGAAAATCCCTGGCCTCAGCATTCAGTGTGTTTACAGTCGAGGCTTTTCTTTGACCTTCTGTTGATCCTGAGTCCAGCTGTTCCTGGAGCATGGGGTTACTGCCTCCCAACCACCATTAAATGTTAGTTGAGACCACAAGTCTGTCACTACCAGTCAGCACTCAATGTCTGACCATTCCACTTCCCTCACCACTCATTTGTTCTTACTAAAACCTAGCTGTGCGGAACTCCAGTTATTTCTCCAAATCACTAGAGGGCTGGTGAACCAAAAATGGTTAACCTCAGAGAGAGGCCTGGAGGGCAGAAAGAGTAATACTTGGAAATTAATGTACTAGATCTCCATTTTGAGGTGTACAGAATGGATTATGTGCCATTTGCATGTTTTGCTACTTTTCTTTCTCAGGCCCGACACAGAGGCCTGGAAAAAAAGCTGTGATTAATGCATACTGGCCCAATGTACCTTGTATACCTCAAATTGGAACTTCAAGTGACCAGTACCCTCATTATTAGGCATTACTGTTTTTGTTTTTCTCCCCACCCCCCCACCCCACCCCTGGAGAGGGGTCTGGGCCTGGAGATTCAGATGGGAAAATAAAGCTGTAAGAAGCCAATACAACTTAGCAATGATGGTCACATGAAGCTCCAGACGGAGCAGTACCACTGAATAATTAAATAAAAACTAAAAGAACTGTGGATGCTGTCAATCAGAGACAAAAATAAAAATTGCTGGAAAAGCTCAGCAGGTCTGGCAGCATCTGTGAGGGGAAGTCAGAGTTAAGGTTTCGGGTCAAGTGATCCTTCCACAAAACAATTCTGTCAATCAGAGAACCACCGAAGCGAATTCTGTAAGAGAGTTAATGTTGAAGCTCTCCAATAAAATGAGAGCTCAGGCTGCCAAGCTGGCTGCTGAGACTTATGTAGTCAGCCATCCTGAAAAACATCCCAGAAGACATACATTCAGGCAGCATGCATGTCTAAAATAGCTTGACTGACTTCTTACCACTGTGGGGAGATAGAAGGTTTGTCTTGGCAGATGGGAAAACATCACCGAACCACTGCTCAAACATAGAATCATAGATCGTAGAATCCCTACAGTGTGGAAACAGTCCCTTTGGCCCAACAAGTCCACACCAACCCTGAGAGCATCCCACTCAGACCCATCCCCCTAATCTACACATCCCTGAACATTATGGGCAATTTAGCACGGCCAATCCACCTAGCCTGCACGTCTTTGGACTGTGGGAGGAAACCGGAGTACCCAGAGGAAACCCACGCAGACACGGAGAATGTGCAAACTCTACACAGACAGTCGCCCACAGACAGAATCGAACCCGGGTCCACGGCGCTGTGGGGCAGCAGTGCTAACCACTGAGCCACTGTGCCACCCCAAGGAAGGTGGGAACTCCTTTCAGCCAGAAATGAACCGGCAACCTAAGGATAACATATTCTCCAAACTGCCCAAAGCCATGAATTAAAATTGGACCCACCACCAAACTTCCCCAACTGGGAAAATAAATTGGCTAAGCAATGAGTCCATGAAGGAGATCCATGGCAGCCCCCATTCTAGAACAAAAAGCTGTGAGCCAGACCAAGAATCTGGTCCAGGCTAAGAGCAGTGACGTCGAGTTAAAGCAAATACAGGACTGAACAATCCCCACCTCGAATAGCAAGTATGAGGAGAGGTTAAGTACTAATGTCTTGTTCTCAAAGATGGACTGTGGTATGTGGTACCGGTGCAAGATCAAAATCAAGTGATTTATCAATGCCACAATGTTCACAGTCATGAAGGGACAAAAATCACAATTGTCAGAGTTAAGGGATTGTGTTGGTGACAGAAATGGAAAAAGACAAAATGTCAACATTATCCGAAGGGGAATCAGGGTTAGAATATGACAGCACCCTTTCCTCTGCTGTTGAGAAAGAGGGAAGGCTCGCATGTACCACTCTGGATTAATGTCAGTAGACAAAAGAAGTTGTGGGCACCTACCCTGTATTTTCAAATGAACATGCCTCATGTGGTTTACACACAAATGCCATTCTAAGTTGTACTGTTGGAGATCCGGAGCCTGAACACTTACATCACCAGGGTAACGTATAGGGCAAGGGAGAATACTGCATCACAACTTCCCGAAAACACTATCATACAGTATCTTCACATGTAATATCCAAAATTACCGTTTGTATTAGGCCACACATCCCAGCCAGGCTAGGCCTAATTGACTTCACAGATATCCACAGCAGGAGTCAGAACTTTGTCAATGTCAATGATGAACTCTGACTAACTTTAGCAGATTATTGGAAGAAATACACTGGTATTGAAACCTGAACAGAAAAATTACAGCAGGTCCAAATAAAATTGGCAAATGCGCATAAAGTTGCTGTTACTGTTATTCAGCAGACAGAGCAAATTCAAAAGGGTATCAGGGAAACCAAAGTGACTAATTGGTGGGATGACTTCTGGGAGTGGTGCTCAAACATGCAGAGACACCCTGTGTACGTGTCCTATTACACCTTGCTGTGTTGTTCATCCTGTTTACTTTGATCTATCACTTAATCCTGTGAAATTCATCTGCTAGAAGGAGGAACTCATCCAGAAACTAATCTATGCTCTTCCAGCTGAAACCAAGAAATTAATTCATTTGGACTCTGTCGTGAAAGGATGATGTAAATTGTTGTGCAGTTTGAACTTTATCAAACGCCAATGATGGTGAGCTAGTGATTGTAAATACTGGCTAATTCTCAATTTATATATTCAGTTGTTTCTACATTGTCCGTGTTAAGATTATTGATGTGCGTAAGGAAGAGATTTATTTTATAGAGTACTAGTGTCCGCGTACAATGGGGAACCCAGATACTCAGGGAGTTAGGCTATCCATATGAGACTTGCTACATGCCTACACGAGACTGTGGTCTGAGCCTGTGATTCCATTTCCAATGGATGCTTTAATGATCAACAGGAGAGACTGTGGTCAAATGACCATGGGCCCAAAATTGGACATTCTAAGTTGACCCTCAGTGGAGAAATCAGGTCTGACAGAAATGTTGCCAAACTAAATTAAATAGCAGCCAGCAGCTATTGGCTACAGAGAACAGTGGAAACCAAGGTTAAAGATGTCACAAAGGTTCGAGGTGAACCAGTTACAAACAGCCCAAGGGTTGTGTATTGAAGAAGTATTGAACAGACTTTCTGGCATCTTAACTTCCAGCCAATGCACTTTACACCTCCTCAGCATGGCAACAGTGAAGGGTGCTGACACCACTCCACTGGATGCTTTAAGCCCTAGTCACGACTCCATTGGCCAAAGGCCACAGAACATTCTGGAAGGTCTGGGCTGAGGGAGATAAAACCACACATGTGGAAGCCACATGAAGACTCACAGCAAGAGCATTCGGCAACCCAATATGACCCAGGAGAAGATCTGCCCTGACCAGTGAGCCCTACCTTCATGGAAGAAAACCAGCCCTATGTCAGAGAGGAATGAGATTCCAATGGCCCAGCTCAAACACAGGGATTGCTGCAGGTAATATCCTTTCTCAGACAGTTGGAGCTAGATGGAGAGTAAGTACTGTGGGAATTTGGGAAATGCTCACATGGTGTTTTATTAAGGAATATTTTGTGAATAAAATCAAGTTGAATGCAAATTCTGTGTCCCTATGTCTATCTCACTGACAAGATCACTTGGGTAAAGTGTTTTTAATACATAAACAATGTGTCCAAAAACAGACAACAGTGTCAAGGAAGTTTCAAAGGGATGAATTTAAAAGAGATGCACTACAAACTGAAATTTAATCTCCCATGAGCATGTGAGTGCAAAAATGACGGGAGAAAAGACAGTCATTTGAGTGAGACAAATCTCCATTTTTCCTTTTCAGGAATATACAGGGTCAGGGGTTAAATGTGAGTTTTTAACCTAAGGTCTGCATATGTTTGTGCCCTAATATCCAAGTCTGTTGTTACGTTCATAGTTTTGAAGACAGCCATTAAACAGCTTTGCAATGCAGATAAAGAAAGGAAAAGGACAACCACTCACTCTAAGTGCCAGCAGCCAGCCACTGTCGGAAAGAACCAAGACAAAGATTTTCAATTGACATGCAAAGCTGAGAATCTTGAAATCAATGGTGCAACTACTAATGCCAAGGTTACTGGTAAAAACCACTATCATCAGAAACACTCTTCCATCTCCTCTTCACAAAGGACTTAGAGATTGAACTGTATATCTTTTAACTTTGTTTTTTATTTCTTCTAATATTTAGTCATTTATAAATTCACCGTTCTGAGAATTCAAGAAGTCTGGTTTAATTGATTCCTATTAAAAATGATTCAACTCAAGTCTGTGAAAAAAGGATCCAAAAGAGAGGGATCCTTTGTAAATTAAACTTGTAATGACCAATTGAGGGGTGGATGAATAACGAAGAGGAACCAGTTCACCCCTCCTTAGCTGAACTAAACGATTTGGGCTATCCTGTCTGGAATGAACAAAGCTTGAATGAGCTTGGGAAGCTCACCCGGGGCCTGGATCTGCTGGGAACACTCTCATACCTCTGCAAACAGTAGCTGTGTGTGTTGCTCAGTGAGATCGAGGACGCCGTCTCCCAGCTGATGCTGCTTCAGTTTGTTGGACAATGATCTGAGGTTGTGCTCGAGTTTTGGAACGATATCAGCAGCTTTCTGTAATCTCCAGAATGGAAACCTGCAGTCAGGAGGAGCAAAGAAACATTCACCATCAAAAATATATAAAAACACCTCATCAGCAGTGAGGGCAACAGGGAAAGAGAGGACTGGAAACAAAGAGAGATCACTCCAAAATCAGCATCTACTTTCTCCCTAACACCCAGTTAGCCCCCACATTTCTCTTCCTCACTTAACAGCGGGAGGGGCGGGGAAGAGAGAGTGCAGGGTAGAAAAGAGAGTGGGTTGGGGAAGGGAGTGGGAGGAGTGAGGAAGAGCCGTGGGGCGAGTGAGAGAGAGCGGAAGTGGGGGAGTCAGGAACAGTGAGGGAAGTCAGGGAGAGCATCTTCACATCATTAATATGTAGCATAAACAGCAGTGGTCCCAGTGCTGATCGTAAGGGAACATCACTGCAATCCTGCCCTGCAATCTGAAAGTCAACCCTTCACCCCAAAACCCTGTCTCTTAGTTCACAGTTCATGTAGTGCGCATGCTGTCATCAGCCCTTTTCAGTCACTAATCAGTGCATCCTCCCATAAACTGGAGAAGTAGAAGTCAGCCATTCAGGTCAATGAGTATTCTCCACCATTCAATGAGATCACCGCCAGTCTGATAATCCTCAACTCCACTTTCCTGCTTTTTCCCCATAATCCTTGATTCCCGCACTAATTGAAAATCTGTTTATCTCAGCTTTGAATATACTTAATGACCCAGCCTCGGCAGCCCTCCACAGTAATAAATTCCACAGATTCTGACATTATACACTCTGCTCCTAGAGTCTCCCTCAAGGGGAAAATACCTTACCCTCATCTACCCTGTCAAATCCACTAAGAATCTTCTATATCTCAATAAGGTCACTTCTCATTCTTCTAACTTCCAATGAGTTGAGGCCCAAACTACTCACCTCTCCTCATAAAACAGTCCCTTCATACCTAGTATCAGCCTAGTGAACCTTCTTTGGACTGCCTCTAATATCAGTATATCTTTCTTTAATAAGGGATCCAGCTGCGTCTGAATAGCGCCATGTAGTGTTTCAGCAACATTACTTGTGTACTCCACTCCCTTTGAAATAAAAGAACAACATTTCATTTGCCTTCCTTGTTGCCTGCTGAACTTGAATGCTTGATCTGATGTATCTATGGACAAGGACTCTCAAATCCCTCCGTTCTTTCTAAAGCCTTTCTCTATTTGCTTAACCTGTCTATTTAGAGTCATACAAGCCCTTTGGCCCACTATGTCTATGCTGACCAACAAACACCAAACTACAATAATCACATTTGCATTTGGTCCATAGCCTACAATGCCCTGGCATTTTAAGTGCTCATCCAGATGCTTCTTAAATGTTGCAAGAGTACCTGCCTCCACCACCCTCTCAGGGAGCACAGAGTTAATGTTTCAGGTCTGGTGACCCTTCCTCAGAAGGGTCTGAGGAAGGGTCACCGGACCAGAAATGCTAACTCTGTTTTTTCCTTCACAGATGCTGCCAGACCTGCTGAGCTTTTCCAGCAACTTTGTTTTTGTTACTCCTCACCTTAACCTTATGCCATCTGACATGGAGGAAAGATTCTCACAATTTACCCTGTCTATGCCTCTCATAATTTCTCCCCCCAGCCTCCACTGCTCCAAGAAAAACAAGTCCAACCTGTCCTCATAACTGAGACTTTCCAGGCAACATCCTGGTAAATCTTCTCTTGTACAATCTCGAGTGCAATCACGTCCGTCCAACAGTGTAGTGACCGGAGCTGCACACAATATTCCATCTGTGGCCTAACCAATGTTTTATCAAGTTGTAACAAGACTTCCTTGCTCCTATATTCTACACCCTGGCTAATGAAAGCAAGCATATCATATACCTTCTTCACCATCCTGTCTACCTGGCTGATACCTTCATGATCTATGGGCTTGTACACCAAGGTCCCTTTGTTCCTCAGTACTCTCTAGAGACCTACCATTCATTGTGTAAATCCTTCCCTTATTAGACCTCCCAAAATACATCACCTCACACTTAGCAGGATTAAATTCCATCTGCCATTGCTCTGCCAGTTTACCATTGATCAACATCAGACTGTAGTCAGTCCATCCTCCTCACTATCAACAAAACCAGCAATTTTGTGTTGTCTGCAAACTAATTATACTATCTACTTTCACATCCAAGTTGTTAATGTACATAACAAAATAACAAGGGTCCTAGCACCTGTGATATACCACTGGTCATAAGTAAATAATGAGAATAGTTCAGTGGCTAAGAAGAAGTTCAAAATACTCTTGTAAATATTAAATACTGACAAGTTAATCAAGGGACACCCTTACTTATTTTTTTAAAAAGGGAAGGAGACAAAACATGGTTAACTATAGGCCAAGTTAGCTTAATGCCTGTTATTTAGAAAATGTTAGAGTCTATTATAAAGGATATAATAGCAGAACATTTAAAAATACACAATATGATCAAGCAGAATCAGCATGGCTTCATGAAGGGGAAATTTTGGCTAACAAATATACTGGAACTCTTTGAAGCGGTAATAACCAGGATAGATTGATGGGAAGTAATGCATGTCATATATTTGGACTTTTAGAAGGTATTTGATAAGTAAGTGTATGTTAGGCTACTTAGTAAGATAAGAGCCCATTGTATTGGGGTAATATATTAGCATGGATAGAGGATTGGATTACCAACAGAGGTCAGAGTTGGGATAAGAGGAGCATCTTCAGGAATGGTAACCTGTAACTAGTGGAATACCACAGGGATCATTGCCGGGGCTACAATTATTTACAAAATATATAAATAGCTTGGTTGAGGAAAGTGAATGCACATTGGCCAAGATTATGGCTAACACCATAGGTAGGTGGGAAGGGAAATTGTGAGGATGACACAAACAGACTTCGGAGGGATATCCAAGGCAAATTGGATCCAACATTGGCTTGCAAATTGAAGGCAAAGGGTGATGGTGGAGGATTGTCAACAAGCTGAATAACAAGCGAAGGGATGGCCTACAATCTGATTAAATGAGGCAGAGAGATAATTACAGAAAATTCAAAATATGGCAGTGCTGGAGACAAACCAAATGACTGGAATAGGGGATGAGATAACAAGGTGTAGAGCTGGATAAACACAGCAGGCCAAGCAGCATCAGAGGAGCAGAAGG